TTGCCACAAATCTCTACAATATTCAAGTTTGCGCTCCTGATTCGTACGTAACAATAATATTTATCTTGTGTTATTGTGTTACATAATAACTATTTCAAAATTGGATGATTTTCAGTGAGAAGTCAGCAGTTAGTCATTCTATTACTTGGATTCATCCTATAGCTGCCAAGAAAGTTCACATTCATGGAACCACTGCCTTTGCAGTTTCTGGTTTGTTTTTCTATGCTTTGGAAATTCCAATCTACATACTACCTCACTTTGTTACTGTTTGCACGTCCTCAACTACATATATGCATGTCTATTTTTGGGTTCATTTTGTACTTGTATGAATCACTTTCTGTTATATGGGGAGGGATTCTGAGGAGATCGGGGATGGAGTATATATCTTGAGAGTTGAGTAGTGGGCGTAGGCTTAGGCGTGTAGCTCTCAGGAGTAATAGGAAGTTTCTTTCCTTGGCTCATTTTCCATTTATCATCAATAATATACACTCCACTTTATCATTCCTGTTTTTGTGAATATGGCTCAGTGAAATTGGCAGATGAGTTTAAGGTGAGCGCCCAAGGAGTTTGGAGGAAGCTGGTGCTGGACATAGGAAATATGACGTCTGCCAATGATGTGTGGTTGTTTGATATTGATGGTAATGATATTGAGTTGGGAATGTTTGGGTTGGCTTCCATTGGAGGCATGTTGGTAGATTGGGCACACAGCGTCTTGCATTTCTCATTTGATTCTAAATTGGTGGAACTGCGGGGTGAAGGTAGTGAACACAAAAATCAATTGGCATTGCAAAGTATGTTAGAGAGAAGCAAGTTGTGGGTTACCTTAGGAGAAAACAGGAGCATGCGATTCACCTTTGCGAAGGAGAAGGCCTAATCAATGTTTGCCTCTATAGCTACCATCAACACCACAAGAACGAAACAAAAAAACAAGCGAGAGTGTTGTTACAATCATGGGTAATTCGTCCTAGCCGAAGTGCTTTTTCAAGTCTTGTGATATTGGGAAGAAAAAATATGGAATGTGGCGGATGTGTGTGGACTACCTTACTCTGAATAAGGTAATCCTTTCGGATAAATTCCATATTCTGGTAATTAACGAACTCTTAGATGAATTGCATGGGGCTCAATACTTTTATAAGTTAGACCTCAAATCGGGGTACCATCAAGTAAGGGTGTAGAGTAAGGATGTGCATAAGGCAGCATTCTGTACTCATGAGGGACATTACAGATACCTCGTGATGTCATTAAGGATTATAGGAAGATGGTTAGGCCTTTAACTGATTCGACCAAACAATTTCGTTCAGGGAGATTGTGAAGAGCAAGCTTTTAAATTGTTCAAACTGAAGGTTAACTCATTCCCAGTTTTGGCGCTCCCTGATTTTCATAAAGAACTCATTATAGAGAGTGATGCCTCTGGGAACGGGCTGCGATCAATTTTAATCCAGGCGGGAAGACCCATTACTTTTTTCAGCAACGTGTTAGGAGAGGGAAACTTGAACAAATCAGCGTATGAGAAAGAGCTCATGGCTGTTGCTCTTGCCATTAATGGCTGCTGCATAGCTGACCAGCCACAAACCTGGCTGAGTGCTGTGGCTTCTCTGGGGCGAATATTGGTACAAACCAGGCATCCACAGACTCCACTTCATTTGAATTGGTTTATGGAAGACAGCCCCCCAACTCTCATGTGATAGTGGAGAGAGTAGGTGCAGTTGCGTATTGCTTCCAACTACCTCCCACAACATGAACTCTTCCGTGTTCCATGTCTCATTACTTAAGAAGGTCATCGGAAATTACAGGATCGAAATTGAGATGCCTTAGAGCCTTGAGTGTGGTTCTGCAGAACCATGGCAGCAGCGCTGCTTGCTTCTCGCACCATCACTAAGGGAGGGTCTGGTGTCAAGCAGTGGCTCACTCATTAGAAATGCAGGGCCATTGAGCAAGCTTCTTGGGAGGAGGAGTTTGTTATGCATACGCAGTTCCCTACCTTCAGACTTGACGACAAGTCCTTGTCTCAAGGGTAATGATAGAACTAGAGATGCGAACATTGATGATGATGCCGTGTCTAGTCTTGCACATGGTGTACCCAAGATATGGAGGGTGTATGTTAGGAAAAATAGGAAAAGAGAGAATGTTATCGTTCCTATTTCATTTGTTTTATTATTGTGTGTAAATCTTAGAACCTATCATTTCCAATAACTGGTATTAAAAATTGCGTAACTCTTCTTAATTTCTTTTTAAGTTACTTTCAAATACGTTACTAGTACATACTCTACAGTCCTTGTGCAAATTCTTTACAGGGACTCCAGCTGATAGCACTTCTCTGGGAATTTCCAAAGCACTTTTTCCTATAGTAGCTGATCTGGTATGGCACCTCTGCCCCTTCTGTTGGGGTTTTTAGTTTTGCATTCTAATTATTACAATGTTGTATGGACTTTTTTATTTATTTTCCTTGCTCTATTTGCTTCTTGGTTATTTTTCTTTATCATAGAATGCCAGCTATTTTATTTATTTAAGTAGTCTTTGTAAATCTTCAATGACATTTTGTCCTGTATTTGCGCTACTTATGGTTTCTTGCCTTCATTATTTTGTTGAGGCTTTCTTTTTTCTGAAAAATTCCTCGCATATAAGATTTTTTTGACTAACACGTGTCATGCATATTTACAGGTATTAAGTGGCATAAACATGGGTAACAACTGCGGTTATCACATGTAAGTAGTGTCTTTTTTCCACATCTTTAATCATCTTAGTACTTTTCATATTTCAAACTGCAAATTATTCCTTTGCGGCGTAAAAGAAAATGTTCGTCAATATACAGGAAAGGAGGATACAAGATTTTAACCTGCCTTTAACTAAAAGAGTAGTAGTATACCTCAACTTCATCAGTCATTACAATACAACAGTTTTGTGTTCATAACTGTACTGATTAGGTTTCCTTTCGTGCAGTGTTTACTCGGGCACAGTTGCTGGAGCTCGAGAGGCATTCTTCTATGATATACCTTCTATCTCCATTTCATATGACTGGTATCTTTGCAATACTTTTACGGCTATACTGCTGGAATATCTCGAATATTTGTTTTGAAATGAACTTTTAAAAAGCTTTTATTAAGTTTTTGGACATTTACATTATATCAAACTTTTCATCCAGTATCACACAAAAACTGCTAACCACTGTCCTATTTGACCATTTGGGGCCGCTATATATAAATCCAGGGCTAAGGCAACAAGTAACCTACACGACTTCACCCTTGCCGCGCAAGCATGCTTACCTATCATAAGTGCTTTACTGGCTGATATAAAGAACCAAAGATACCCTCAAAAGTGCTTTTTGAATATAGATATTCCAAGCAAAGTTGCTAATCATAAGGTATGTTGGCTTTTTTTTTAATGTTTAACTTAATAGATGTATAACTAACCTGAAATAGCCAGATAGCCTTGTTATGATGCAAAGACTTACGGTTAATTTCTTGTTTTTTCGTGTCTTTCAAAAAGGGATACAAGTTGACTAAGCAGGGTAAGAGTATAATCAAAATGGGATGGAAGCAAGTCGCCTCTGAGACGGAAGGACGAAAAATGTCATCTGATATGACCTCTACAGACATAGCAGCGCGCTCAGATTGTAATGCGTCATCTATATCACCTGAAAATCTTTTATTTGCGAGAGAAGTATGTTCATTTCTCTTCCTTGAAAATCTCTATATTCATTTAAGTAAGATTATTTCCAATATCTTTTGACGAATCCTTCTTGTTTTAACTTTCAACCAATGTAAAGTTGCTTAGACTTTTTCTTGAGTATGTTTACTATTCTATTATATTTGTGTAGGTAAGAGGTGCTCAACATGATGATGATGATGATGATGATACTGATCACAAATGTTTGCAGGAAGGATATGTGAGTATATCAATAAAAAATATTGGACAGTGAATACACAAATTGTAGCTAATGTGATTTTGCATTTTGTTTAGGTTACTGTCACCCCTCTTGCTGCTATCTCTCAGGCGGAGGTAGATTGTCAAAACTATTTTAAGGATTGGCTACAAAATGTCTCGGAATCTCCCTCTTCGTTGGCTCTATAATGCTGTAAGGCATTTCACGTGTTCGTGATTTGTATGAAATCCTCAGTTTCAAAATATTGCTAGTGCTACCTCTAAAGGCTGTAATAGAGTTCACATTTTTCTTTTGCAGGATTGTTATGAAATTAATGCTCTCACTTTTTATTTTGCAGAGTGTTATGAGAGGGTCTTCATACGTTTCATTAGATTACAGAAGTTCGAATTGACAATAAAACTGGGTGGTAGAAAAGTGCCCAAAATACCTTTAACACTCTGGCTAAGAATTATTTTTGCTTCATATTATTCATTGTATACGAGATGTTAGCTCAGTGATAAGAGCGTTACATTGCCAACTCAAAGAACAAAGTTCAAATCTCATATGAGACAGTTAGAAAATAGTTCGAATCTCAGGTTATGATTTATGAGTGTCTATTTTCCTTAGATTAATCTATTTTTTTAAAGTGATTTCTACTTAATCAAGTGCAAAGTACTAAGTTATTTAGATTTCTAGTGATTTTGCTAAGGCATTCAGGTCAGTGTCACTGCTACATTATTGTCTGGTGGCACAAAAAGATTTTTCCTATGAAACTTGCGTCTTGCTATGTGATTTGAAATGAAAGGCCTAATTTATCAATTTTCTGTAACCTAATAACTTGTGATTGACTAGGCTATAGCTTGAGCTTTCACAAGTCAACATCAACAAGGAAATCCATGTAAGAAACCACCTTTTCAACAGCTTATAATGGACAGCTTAACAAGAAAAAGCCTTACCACGATAAACAACTCAAGAAATGCTTCTGTGATTACCCTACCTTGATGATGTATACAGGTTTAGAGTTTAGACATGACTGAAAATATGTGCAGAAATCAAAAGCTTGAATAAGATTATAAATAAGAGCTTATAAGTTATAGTGGTTGCTTTAAAAACAAAATTTTTAGAGTCTTATGTGTAGATGCTACAGAAGTTAAAAGGAAAAGAAAAAAAAAACTATGGTACTAGTACTATGGACATTATAAATATATTTATGTACATTATGAGGTTCTTCTCAATCCTGTATAATGTGGCCATGGCCTTTATTTTTGGGATTGTAAAGAAGATGAATGTGATTCCACTAGTATTGACCAGAGGACATGCACGTCTTCGTAGGGGCAAGATTTGACATCTTCATATAGAATGTAAAGCCCTCTTCCTGAAAAATTTGTGTTAGTGGGGTGGAAAGAAAGGAAGAAATTCAGTGCAGAAAGAAAAGAAAAGAAACTGGTATTCTTGGTTGATTTGATTGTTCAAGAGTAGAAGCTTTATGCAAAGTGAGGACACAATTCCCAAGTACATGCATGAAAAATCAATAAGAAAAAAATAAGAATGTAACTATGGAGAGTGTTATTAAACTTACTTTTCTTTTGAGTTGAATTCATCCTGAACCATAGCTTTTTGACTGGAGAGAAGAGGGATTGAAGCCACCCCATTTGGTGAAGTGTTGTAGCTCATGCACATGAAGAAATGTGAAGGTAAATAACAAGAGAGGTGAGAGAGATAAAGAGGAGAACAAACTCTAGAGTCTTGACTTTGCTTAGACAAGGGTTAAGATTTTGTAAATGTCACTTTCATATTTTGTGACACATTAATTATATTACAAAATTTAAAAAAATGTATAAAATTGATGAAGGGGCTTATAAAATGGAACTGAGGTATTTTATTATGAATTAAAATTTGTTGCTGGTACAGTGCCCTTTTCAAGCTTGTAGAAGAAGAAGTCATTCCACCAATAAGCTGTCTATCTCATACTTTTGTTCACCACAAAATAGAAGCATCTATTTTACCTTTCCTATTATCTTATATTTGAAGATACATTTCCATGTTTTTCACCATCATTTTAGCATATAACTTAGTGGTAAAAGGCACACGTTGTGAAGGTTTCTTGTTGCGACATTTAGGTAGTCCTCTTGCATTTCAAGCAAGTATATGCCTCTTTTTTTTAGCCTCTCTCACAAGGCTTTGTTTCATTTTAGTACATCTGTTTGGTATAGGGTACCTTATAAGAGTGAAAATTTCTGGTTTGTCTTGTTGACTCAGATTTGCCACGTCACTCACATTAATTACTTAACTGAAAAAAATCACTCAACTAAGTTTCTTAAAACTTGTGTTACAAAGCTTCCATAGTTTACATATAGGCTTAAACTATGGAGATTGAGAAACTCCTTTATTTTAACCATTGATCCATATAATCTAATTAAGATATTAAATTTACACCTTGCATACCATCTAATCCCTTAATTAATCAAGCACGCCAAAAACTTGTCTCATAAAACAAAGAGCAGTGACAAACAATCTAAATAGTCTCAAAATAATAATAATCTATCAATTACTTACTAACAAAATCACAAACAGGAAAATATTAAAAATAAGAGTATAAAAAAATTGTTTATTCAATTCTTTCATACTGATCTATTCCTAGAAAAAAAAACAAGTCTCCTATCCCCTATGAATCAATAGTTTTTAATCAAGAGATTAAAATGAGTTCTAAGAAATTAGTTCAACAAGTTCATAAGAATAATTTTTAATTTATATTCAACTGTGATTCAATCTCTCGTCTTCTTAATACATGAATAACTCAATTTCAAAGTGTTTAGAAGTGTATACGAACTTTTAGATAACCTTAAAAAATTATTAAGTTCTTACAAAAATGACTCTTAAAAAGTTATTTTTGTCTCTAAATCTCTCTAAAACTCTATAAAAATCCACTACTTTCCTAAAAAAACGGCACAACACGTTTGCTCTAAAACACCTATTGTTTAAGGCAAAATAAAAAAACTTCAACGGAACATCTCACATATTCACCTCTCTCTTTAAAAATGATAGAAAAAATGTTTAAAATGACAACTTATGAGAGAGAAAACACCTAGTATTTTCACATAAAGTTATGTGCCCCGTCCAAAACACTTAGGGTTTACTCTCAAACATAATTGTTTGAGGCTAAATAAAAAAACTTTAGAAATGCTTCAACGATATGTCTCCCATATTCTCCCTCGTTAAAAATGGTGAAAAAACCTTTTAAATATTCAAACTTTCAAGATTAAATGCTTCACGCATATCCTTAAATAATGCCTTGTTTAATTTCTCACTTTTTAGCAAACCTTGTTTAGCTACTTCAACCAAACCTTTTTTCACTAACATGCTCTAATCTTAAATGTCATAGTTTGTTTTATTATGAAAGTTCAAACTAGCTAATGATGCATTACTAATAATAGTGGAACCATCTAAAATATGTAAATTGTACATTTTAAACCCTTTAGAAATTATCAATGCATCATACAAAATTTTTAACATGCTATGTTCAATTCTAGTGCAATAGTCTAAATTATCAAACATTGCTTAAAGACAACAAATCTCACTTAAGTTTGAAAACATACCCTATGTTGCGTAAAAGAAACTCAATCGTTAAACATCTTAAGTCTATTCGTCTTAACACCATGAACATTACAAACCTTATTGTTATTAAGTCAAACGAATCTACGTTCTTTTAGATCAAAAGTCTCAAAGTATTTCTTACTTGCGCACACGTGATAAAAGCATTTAGAGTCCATGAACTAAATCTTTTGCGTCTCCAAAATTTCTACCTCTAATGCACCACCACTCTCACAACCATCTTCATCAAAAACAACAATAATTTGACCATAATAACTCTTGCACTCTTTATTGGAACAATCCTTCTTAAGGTGATCAATCTTATTACAAATAAAGAATTTGTACATTGAAATGTCAAACCATTGTACTTGGACTTATATATATATATATATATATATATATATATATATATAATCATCATTATACTCACATAATAGTTTCTATACCTTACTATTTTACCATTTAACAAAAACTTGACTACATATACTTTTAAAATGACATCAGTATATTTAATGATTTGTCACATTTAAAAATAACATCAGTATATTTAATGATTTGTCACATTTAAAAATAACATCAGTATATTTAATGATTTGTCACATTTAAATCACACTTAATATTCTACTCAATAATTAGTTCATAAGCATGACTTATTAACCACTTGAATTCAATCACTTTATTTTATTCCGCTTGTTTATTTTGCTTTTTTTTATTTTTATTATTGCAAAATTTATTTATATTAGAATTAATTTATGTGATATGTAAAATATTTGATTGAGTCCTTTCAATATTAATAACATAATAACTAAAATTAAATATTTTACATATTTTAGAAGAAGGATCAATTCTAATCTAAATTAATTTTACAATAACTAACACAAAAGAGTATGAATAAAAAATAAAATGATAAATACTTATAAGAAACAAAACAAAATAATAAACCACGTAGACTAAAACTAAAAAAATTGTATATTTGCAACACCAATTACACATTTAAATTAAAAAAAAATGCTTAAATATATTTTTGATCTTTTAATTTAATTTATTCACAAAATTTAAGCATATTTAACCTCCTTATTTCAAATTTAAGTAATTTCGATTCCCTCTCACATATTTAAACTAAAAAAATAATATGTCTAATGATATGTCACATATGAGATATGATGAGTCTTCGTATAAGAATCTTTGTGAAATATGATAGGTTGATATTATAAGTGACACATTATTAAAAAAATAGACACATCGTCAATTTTAAATATAGAAATGCGAGAAAAAATTAAAATTGTTTGATTAAGATATGAGAACGAATTTTGTAAATGAGATAAAATAGATGAAGCAAAACCGTGTTTAAGTAAAATAGTTAATAAAGTTGTATATGAATTTGATCTTACCGGATCAGATTTGGACCGTTACAGCTGACTCGGACTGGATTTGAATGAGATGCAGGCAAAAAGTATATAGGTGTATAACGAATGAATACCTGAACCTCTTGAAGTAGAGGGTATTTATAGCCTCCAGCGCTGGGCCAAGGTCCCCTCACTGGGCCGACCAGAACTGGCTCAATAAAGGGACTGCCAGGTTCTACGTGTGTAGTGGGGACCCGCACGTGGTCCCCTTCCTGGATGGTGCTCTGCGAAGAATGAGGAAGAATGAAGACGCGGTCTTTCTGGAGCTTTGAAGATCCCATAGCGGTTGGAGTGGACAGAATCTTCCCTACGGGGAGGATGCTCGAGCCAGACTCGAGCTGGAGTTCCCTTGGTCGGGGACGCTGCTCATTGCGGGTAACGGCGGGCATTGCAGCTGTAGTCTGTGGTCGGGCACGTTCGGTGATGGTCTGATTGTGAGCACTCCCCCAGGAGCTGCTTGGTTCTGGGCCTTTATTTACACTTTGGGCCAAGGTGGGCCCAGTCCAGAACAGGAGCCCCCCAAGTCATTGTTCCTGGCACATGAGTTATGACTTGATCTCAGCTTGCTTTTTCTGCGGGGACCCAATGCCCGACCCATGGCTTTGCCTTTCGAAGCGTGCTCGAGGAACTCTCGCGGGGATCTCTGGGCTGCGTCTGTCGGACACGTGGCGTAGTCCTTGGGAACTACAACACCGTCCTAGCAAATAGGGCCATCATTACCTAGGCGGGTAGGTGCCGAGGATGGGGGAAGTTCGTGTCTCCCCGGAGCGACGTTTCACATTCCACGTCATCTCTATAAATAGGACCCTTGGGCCCATAATCTATTTTTCCTCTTCACGCTCCTCCTTCTTTCTCTGTTTCCGCAGCCGTTGGTTCCCGTAACGCCGTGAGACCGCCGCACCATTCGCCGTTGATTACTCTCACCACCGTCATTTGTACCCCTCTTCTTCCAAGTAAGTGTCCCTTCCTCCTGTTTCTCTGTGTTGTAGGTAGCTTTGATGATATTTTTGATACTAGAAATCTATATTTTGGAAGTAATGCCCTGTAGATTCAAGCGCGCTAGGCGCCTGATTCATGACTGTGCTCGAGAAACTCATAGTTTAGGCACATAATTCATGATATTGCCCGTGATATTCATAGTTTAGGCACATAATTCATGATATTGCCCGTGATACTCATACGTTTGGTCGCCATACTCATGAACTGGCCGGGATGTTCATCCTTTTAGGAAGTATGTAGGGTAGTCTCCTCGCGGTATTCTAGTGTCGGGTAGGCGAAGTCAGGAACTTGGTCGCGTGATTCATGATTCGCCCGGGGCGCCCATGTTACGCTCGTGTTATCCATGATA